ATGTATGTATATATAAATATGTAAGCCTGAGACATTTTAGCTTCAGATATCCTTCTACCCTTCTGGCTGGCTACTTGAATCATTCACTGTTCACTTCCTAGCATCTCGATGGCCATAACAAATCACTGGTTATAGGGCAATTGTCTCAATTTGCCTATATCCAATTGTGCCTATGTCCTAGTACAATTCTGCCTATAATTTCCAAGGAGCTCATAAGAAATAAGAGGAGACCTGATTATGGTTTGAAATAGCTGAATATCAAAAAAGCTAAAATTTGAACTCATAATGCCAACTCATTAAACTAATTAACTAACAACAACAACAGCAAAAGTACTTGAAACCCTTTACTTGACCCATGTGTCAAATTTAATCAGATTTCAATTTGTTGGAACACTTGAAAACACAACAATTAAAAGCCTTCAGTTTTCTATCTTTGCTAATCATGGCTGTAGAAACTATCCTATATTACAGCTAACTAGATAAGCACAACAAGGGTCCTGCTTTCCTGATCTGAAAATCAATCGCCATGGGTTATAGCTTCAAGGACTTTGTCCCTCCTTTGCCCAGAATTTTTTCGGGAAAAGAATAATGTTGAGAAATTGCTTTTTAAAAGAAAAATCCCAGTCAGTCTTCATTTATCTCTAAACATATCTATGTTTGTATTATAATCTTTTAGTTGGTAAAGAATGGTTATATATAACATAACTGTTAGTGTATCATATTGTCAGTTAAGTATGCATGCTCCTTCATAGCTCCAAAAGAAACAATTTTTATATAAAAGTATATACATTATATGTGTGTATATATACGTATATACACACACATAAAAAATAGAATAACTAATAAAATAGAAACTACAGTGCCTATCTTTCTGCAATTTTTTCCTGTTGATTTATTCATAGCTACTGCATTTAAATGTTATGTTTTCTCAAAGAAAAACAACAGAACAAAATAGATAAAATAATATATATGGGGGGTGTTTTTCCAGGTATATCTTTGATTGATTGTTACCCTCATTACTTCCACTTTCTACAACATATGACAACAAAAAACCATAAAGACATTCTCTCTATATATTCAAAAAAAAATTAAATTGTTTCAAACTTTGTGTTTTGTTATGAAGTTGTTATTAAGTTTTCAAATTTATGATATACTAGCATCTTTGCACGTCCTAGGTCATAAAAGTTCTGATTTAAGGAAAAAAGAACATAATTTCTAACATAGACAATAGTTGGCAAGGTGCTATAAGGTTTCTTTAGCAAGGTATTATAAGATTTGATAACGTCATTGACCTTGGGAGATGTGATTGGGCTAGAACTGATAGCAAGCATTTGAAAAAGCAAAGAATGCTTAAAGATCATGTGGTTTCTCTCTAAAAAAAGAAAAGAAATTCACAAGCAGATGAAATGTTTCTAAATTCAACTAGACAGAGTGAGAATCACTGGATAAGTAGGCATAGGGGGGTTGTTATTTGCATCACAGATCTCATTATCTTTCCACCCAGATCCATCCCTCCTCCAAACTTTACTATTACTCCTCAGAACACTACCATCCTTATTGTTACCCAGGTCACATTTGGTCACACCAAATATCTAAACAGCTACCAAATCTTATAATTTTTACATCCATAACATCTCTTGTATCTGTCCCCTTCTCTCTACTCACACAACTACCACCTTAGTTCAGGTTTTCATTACCTCTCATTTGGACTGTTGCAATAGTCTTCTAATTTATCTCTCGGCCTAAAGTATTTCACCACTCCAAACCATCCTCCATTCAGCTGCCATAGTGATTTTCCTAAAGTTCAAGTCTGACAATATTATTCCCTTATTAAATAAACTGTAAAGACTTTCTAAAGACTTTCTTTCTAGGATCAATTATTATTTTATCTTTATATCATCCCTTTTAAATGTTTGTTTTTAATATAAGTTTTATAATGAACAAAATTATTAGTACATGTAAATAGTTTCTAAATTATGTATACATATACAAGTATATACATGTGTATATACATATATATATTGTTGTTCATTTGGTTCAGTTGTGTCCAATGCTTTGTGACCCCATCTGGGGTTTTCCTGTTAAAGATACTAGGGTGATTTGCCATCTCCTTCTCCAGCTCATTTTACAGATGAGAAACTGAGGTAAACAGGGTTAAGTGACTTGCCCAGGATCACAGAGCTAGTAAGCATCTGAGGCCAGATTTGAAATCAGGAAGATGAGTCTTCTTGACTTTAGGCCCAGCACTCAATACACACACACACACACACACACACACACACACACACACACACTGTGTGTGTGTGTATGTATGTATGTATATATGTATACATACATACACATATACACACACTCCTTATATACATCCATATATAGATGTATATAGTGTATGTGTGTGCTCAAAATAGTTTGAACTCGTGGGGTACAGAATCAAAAAAGTTTGAAAATCACTGCTCTAAGCCCATGGGAAGTCAGGAAGACCAAATTACTGCTGGCTGTTTTCTACCCTATAAATTGTATCACTACAAATAGCAGACAAAAGAGATACTCAAAGGAGAGAAGCAGGAAAAACAGCTGAGAAAGTTATAATGACTTTGCTTAAAAATTGTGTTAACTGTTTCTGTTCTGAAATGATTTGTTCTTGCTCTTTTAGACAGCAAGTTTTGAGGAGCTTTGTAATTGAAGTCAACTTATAAAAAGAGAGATTTTCTAGGGGGTTGCTAAGAACCAGTAGAATTTAAATAGTGATATCATTCTTAGAACTGATAATTCTCAAAATGTAAAAAGTTAAGGCAAGAGAAGGAAGTCTTTATTTCTCTAAAGTTACAGGGAGTAAAGAAGCATTTAATATTTTAAGGTATTTTTATTCTAGTCTCTAATTAAAGAGGTTACCCTTCTTCTGACCAAGATAAACCTCTCTCTGTGAACCACCCCCTTCTATTTTCTCTAGCAGATTGTCCCTGCAGTTATTCTTATCTCTCTTTTTAAAATTAGTTTATTATGATTTGTCAACAATCACTTCCACAAGCTTTTGAATTTAAAATTTTTCTCCTCCTTCCTCCTCCCCTCCCTCCCCAAGACAGCAAGCAATCTGATATAGGCTATACATATACATTCCTATTAAACATATTTTCATATTGGTGATGTTGTAAAGAAGAATTAGAACTAATAGGAGGAATCATCAGAAAGAGGAAACCAAACAAAACAGAAGAAAGAAAAATAGCAAATAGTATGCTTCAAGCTGCATTCAAACTACATACAAGTTCTTTCTTTGGATAGCATTTTCCATTATGAGACTGCTGGGGATGTCTTAGATCTTTGCATTGCTGAGAAGGGCTATATCTATCAATGTCAGTCATTGTACAACGTGGCTATTACAGTGTACAACACTGTCCTGGTTCTGCTCACTAGTCCACACAAATCTTTCCAGGTTTTTCTGAAGTCAGCCTGCTCATCATTTCTTATGGAACAATAGTATTCCATTATATTCCTACACCACAACTCGTTCAACCATTCCCCAATTGATTCCCATCAATTTCCAATTCTTTGCCACCACAAAAAGAGCTGCTATAAATATTTTTGTACATGTGGGTCCTTTACCCATTTGTATGATCTCTTTGGGATACAGCCTTAGACTAAGTGCTATTGCTAGGTCAAAGGGCATGCACATTTTTATAGCCCTTTGGGCACCGTTCTAAATTGCTCTCCAAAATGGTTGGATTATTTCACAACTCTACCAACAATGCATTAGTGTTCCAATTTTCCCATATCTTCTCCAAGATTTATCATTTTCCTGTTTTTTCATGTTGGCCAATTTGATAGGTGTGATGGGCTACCTAAGAGTTGTTTTGATTTGCATTTCTCTAGTCAAGAAATGTATTTATTAAAAACAAAAAAACCTTTGAAAATCATGATTACTTCACATTAAAATTCTTCTTGTGTCTAGGCCAATGTGGTATATTATAAGTGTATGTCACTTCTATGAGTAAGAAGTTCCCTACATTTACTAGCCAATGAACAAAATAAATGAGATCTTTTTATTTTGTCCAAATAAAGGAAATATCCTTTTATTTCCCTCAAAACAACCTTTTAAAACTTCAGTGCTGCTCCTTAGTCCTAGAATAAAGGCATCACCACTACATAGTTTTATAGGCTATTCTTATTTCCTTTCAGTTTTTTCTTTAGAGACAGACAAGTCTCATTTTTTCTAATCCACATTCTCTATTTCTCTAATTATGTTAGTTGCTCTTCTCTGTACCTTTTCTAAATTTACTCTATCTTCCTTATGGAGAAATGGCAAGAACTAACCCGGTATAGACACTTAATGGTTTTGTACAAAATAATTTTATCAAAATATACCATAATCATGAAATCATAAAATATATCATAATGATTTATTGTTATTATGTTAACATGATACCTCCTGCTTGACCTAAATATTTGGAAAACAAGAAAAATACACAGAATATTAACACATCAGTGAAGCAGCTGTATGAATGTGGGCAAATCCCCATCATTTTGCCTGTAAAATGGAAATCATAATACTTGTAATACCTACCTCTTTCCGGGATGTTGATAATAACGTGCAGATCTTTCAAGTGTTTTTATTCATTCTGAATGAATAAAAACCAGTAAACTAAGTTTTCAGAAATGGATTTTTGAAAGAACCTTATAAAGGATAATGCTGGTTTGCATATTCCTTCCTTGAAGATAGGGAAAATACAATTTTTAAAAGAGATTTATAACCAGGCAAGACAACTATGAGCTTTGTTAAAACTAATTGTCCTTTCAAATTAATCATGTATTGTTTATTTTAATTTTTTTTGGTAAATGGGTATGTACTTTTTTTTAACTAAAGAGCCTTAATTAATTCTTTGATTTACAAAAAAAAATGACTTTCTACTCTGATTTGTCAATAAGTATGCAAATAACTTCAGGAAAAGTGATAAGAAAAACGATACTAAAAATGTTACCAGGTTTTTAGGCAATGATTTACTTACCTCCAAAGAGATGGAATGCTTTTCTGCAACTTGGCAGGGGCCATTTTGCTGAATTGGATTTCTGAAAGCTTTGCTTTATTTTCAAGTATTCCTTAGTAAAGAATGTTTTTGTAGCATTGTTCAGTTCTAAAATGGAAACAAAAAGGTTTCAAAGCACAAATTTAAGCAAAATACAGTGCTTATATGACTATAAAGATGAAAGTATTAGTATCTTGGTTATGGTTTCAGATTTTTTTCAGGGAGTAAAGATCATATTATAATCATTTTTGCTACTTACACAAAGATAATTCCCTAAATTTCCTAGCCTATTGAGCTCCAATTCCACTGCTGATTGAACAGCCAGAACAATAACTCTTAGAATGACTTTCCCTTAATTTATTCTGCTTCATTTCATTTATCAAGTATATGTTGAGACCACAGTGTATATGTAAAACTACACTGATTCTTTGGGGTAATACAAAAAACACAGAATGTCCTTAGACTCCTATTTAGGAGTTCATAGGCTTAGCAGGGAAGGCTAAACACAAAAGGACAAACAAGTTGAGCTCAACATGGTAGAAACTGTATACTTAAGGAGCTGAAGAGACATTAAATAAAACAGTAATTGGCTGCAGATAAGGTTACTCAGGGAAAGTTTCTTGGAAGACTTGAGTTCAGATCTTGGTCTTAAGGGACGTGGTTGACAGAAGACTGAAAGAAATTCCCTTTTGTCTTCCTCAACCCACATTAGTGGCATAAACAAAGGCATAGAGCTAGAAGTAAGACAGGTATTGTGGCCAGGATTCTGAGGAGGAATCTGTTTATACTAATTAGCTTGCATCAATTTTAGTCGCTGTGTTGCACAAAAGAAAAAGAGGTAAGGTTGAAAATGTAGGAAGGTGGTAATGGTGAGCACACAACTGATAAGGGCTTCACCTGTGAGAAGTAATCAAACTTTTAAAAAAATCTATAAAAATTAAAATATGGTTAAACTCAATTTATATTTTCCAGTGTTTTCATACTTTGTACCCTGGACTGATGCTATTGTTCACAACACTAAAAAAAAAGGGATTAGATCCCTAAGTTTCAGTTTACAAAAAAGCAACTAATTGTCTTCCTATTCTTGCCTTCATTCTTGAAGAGGACCAAAATGACATCACTACATTAGGGTCAAGGTAGAGTGTGTTCGACTGTGGTTTATTAGACCAATATGATTCAGTTTTGCTCATAGAGCACAAGCGCCTTCTTTGATGTGGGCACGCCATGCTGGATGGTCCCATGCCAGTGTCTCCCATGTCTTACAATTGATTCCAAGGTTTGTCAGAGAGACCTTGAGTGTCCTTATATCATTTCTCCTGACCTCCATGTGAACACTTGTCTTGGGTGAATTCTCAGTAAAACAGTCTTTTAGGCAAGCTTACTTTTGGCATTCAAAGGATGTGACCAGCCCATCAGAGTTATCTTCCTATTCTAATTGCTCCTTCAATGGCTCTTCTTTTCCACAAGCCCATCAGCATTTTTTGATTTCTTTCAAGGGGTCTGCAGTCAGTGCTATCTCATTTACTTCTATGGCTTCAACTAGATTTATGTGGATGACTCTCAAATTTCTGTCATCAATTCTTAACCTCCCTTCCAAACTCTTCTAACCTAGAATTCCCAATTCCTCAAATGTGTGTAACCATTTTAAGAAACAAGTGCTCCAAATTCTACCTATTTTAGCAGACAAGTCAAATACCAATTTTCATCCCCTCCCCAAATTCTCCCTTGACATCCCAGCTCCACATAACCTTTTTCTCCTCCAAACTTGCTGTATCATATTTTTTATAATGATTATTTGCAGACACTATGCGGCTTGGCTCTCCTACTATATGGTAAATTCCTTAAAGGCTAGAACCATGTAAGTTATTTTTATGTCCATTACAGTACCTTATATAATATTTTATACATAGAAAATATTTAAAGCAACTTGTTGAATGCTGACTAAATAAAATGGGAAAGAAACAAAATGCCACGCAAATGAAATGAAGCAGAATGTGATACAGTGAAAAGAATACTGGATTTGAAGTATGAGGTCCTTACTACAAATCCTAGTTCTGCTCGCTGATAACCTGTATGACTTTGGGTTACATATATGATGAGTCACATCACTTGCTAGAAGTCACTTTTTTTCCACTGATAAAATGAGAAAGTTGGATTAGATGAACTCTTAGGTCCCTTGTGGCTCTCGTAAGGTATGATCCTATGAACTTAATTTAAATGTTTAACCTGAAAAATCTCTCTAACAATCCTAATCCTAGATCCATAAACCAGTGATTGAAGTACAAACTAAGATGAACCTGGGAATGATTTGTACAGTTAATGTATTTTTTTTTTGGCAATTGGGGTTAAGTGACTTGCCCAGGGTCACACAGCTAGTAAGTGTCAAGTGTTTGGTCTGAGGCCGGATTTGAACTCAGGTCCTCCTGACTTCAGCGCCAGTACTCTATCCACTGTGCCACCTAGCTGCCCCTAGTTAATGTATTTTTATAGTTGTGCATTGTAGCAATGTCAGCTTAGGTTAAAAAGACAAGGCAAAAAACCCCCAAACAAACCCAAAAAACAAAAGGCCTGATAGAGTTATTAGTAGATACTATGACAGGAATTTGGGTAAGGGTCTACAACTTAAAAGTACTAGCAAAGATTTTATTTTAAACTTCCAGACCAAATTCTGAAATCTGAGTTCAAATGTGGCTTCAGAAACTTACTAGTTATGAGACCTGAACTTTCCTGAACTGTAAAAGCAGGATGATAATATACCTGTCATGTTAGTTTTGGGGATCAAATGAGATAATACTTGTAAAATGCTTAGTAGAGTACCTGGCACATGTTAGCACTATATCAATGTTAGCTATAGTACTACTACTACTATTACTACTACTACTACCACTACCAACACTACTACCAATAATAATAATTGTTACCAATACTAATGATGATAGTAATGATGACAATTATTATTTTCATCATTATCATTATTTGTCTTTTTTATTATTTTTTTATTTATTGGGGAGAGGGTTTCCTTCCCTTCCCTCTATTATTATTAAATAATGTTATTCTGATCCAAGTTCCTGGACTCCCTTTTATCAATCCACAGACCCTCTGTTAACCCTTGATAAAGAGACAGTACAAAATGTACTATGTCTGTATGTAATAAATGTGTGGATGTTATTGTTTGTGTAATAATCATAAATTATTTCTTAAAAAACTATAGGAGCTTTAGGGGATCCCATATTTATTCACAAACCTGAAATGAAATGGTTACACATGGATAAAGAAGTAGTCTGATTATGTTTCATGTATTAATTCCCTAATATTGCCAACATGACAAAGCCCATGGAATTTTTTCTTTTTAAGAAACAGAGACTAGAAGCCCTAGGTTCTTTCATGTCATATTCTCAAAGATACCACATTTCCATTGTAACCACATGGCTATAGTTTAGCCTGAATATACGTCTTTCAATAAATACTTAATCTGCAGTCCATGGATAAATTTCAGGGATTTCTGAACTTAGGTGGAGAAAAAAAAATCTCACCATTTCCTAACTGAAAAAAAACCCAACCCCACAACACAAAAAAGGTTAAGAATCCCTGTTCTATCTAGATGATTTCAGTGTTGGAAATACGAATTAAATTTCACAATGACTTTAGTTCAAATGCTTAAATATTGGCAGTCATGATTTAAAATCAGATTAGCATTATTAAAAACATAAAGAACTGCTATCTTGTGTGATTCTAATGATATGCTACTCTATTCTAAAAATAAAAAACTATCTTAGCATCCACCTCACAAGGCTGTTGTGAGGATTAAATGAGATAGTATTTGTAAAAAGCATTTAGCACAGTGCCTAACGCAAAGTAGGTGCTATATAAATGCTTATTCTCTTCTCCTCATCTTTAACTTTTCCCTTTGTGATGGTACAGACTTTGTTTTCCCATTTTAAATATTTTAATTATGTTTCAATAGTTTTTTCCAACCTTCTCCTCCATGAGATCAAGTAGCTACATTATTTCCTTCCATTGCAACCTTTTAAAGTCATATAAGACAGAAGAGGTTATGTTTATGAAGTAAATTCATATATAAAAAAAGACAGGCCTAAAAAGACCATGGTAACAAGGGGAGAACAAAGTAGTTGTTAACTGACATTGAGCATCTTGGTTCGTGTTGTAATTCTGACAGCAGCTTTAAATCTACAATCTCTTACATATACTTTTCCTTTTATAGTGAACTTGTTCATTATGAATAACTCTGACACTTGGATGATAGGTCTTAGTTCACCAAAACCAAGATCTATTGTACTTGAAAATTTTAGTTCACATTTTTTTCCGAGTTTACTCTGACATCTACGTCAATACTCTCATTAGAGATGAACTTTCCATGGTGACCCAGAGCACTTCCGATCACAGTGAGAAAATTCTGATCAAAGCAAGAGATAAGGTTTCCCTGGCTGTCAGCTGATTCCCACTGACATCAGCTGGTGTTTTTCAGGCAGTCAGAAGAGGAAGATAGAACTCCAAGTGATGTAACGAGATCTATTCACTTTTTTCCCTTGGACCTGCTGTCTTCTATGCTGTGAGATACATAATGTTTCATTTGCCAGAGGTGGAATTTGCAAAACCCAATCAGGCCAAGCAAGAAACTTGTATTTTTTCCATAAACATCACAAACAGGTGATTTCCTTGGAGAGACTTTGATGATGTGCTTTAAAACATCTGCGGGTCTGAACATGAACACATATTCTTGCTACTCAGCAGGAACTGTGAATCCTCTTTTATAGGTTGTACTTGGTTCCATGAGATTATGGGATAATAGATGGCATTTGCAGAAAGGATACTACAGAATGCCTACTATATAAACCTGGGAATCAGAGCTCCCATCAATAAGGATTAATGGTATAAAATGAGAAAAATGCAAAATACAGTCAACAAGCCTTTCACAGCTGAAACTGAATCTGGTGGATATCAGCTTTTAATGTGGCTTTTAGCTTTAGGACTGCCCTGGGAAATGATCTTCACATCTCAGATTTTTCTGGCCCCACTCATTTTCCTTAATGTATTGATTTTATTATATTCCCAAGGGCACTGTATCATCTAAAATGTTTCCCACTTCA